TTCTAATTTATGTTGAGAACAAATTTTGGGTTTGCTGTTAATTAAGGATGGCTATAACCTTTTACCTTATTAGATTTATAGGTTTTAACCAATCATTTTAGATTATGATACTTTTAGCTCATTACTTATTAGAATTAAAAAAAATAACCCTCACTTATAACTTTTTGTCAGTTCTATTAATTGATTATTAACTTTATTAGTTGAATATTAGTTGGAAAAGGAAGGATGACTACTTGGGGGCTTTCGAGTGGAGTGCTTGATCCTCTGATGCTCAAGAAGAATCACCTAGAAGCTGGAACTTAGGCATGCTGTCCCCCCTAGCCATGGCGTGTTGCAAGTCTAGAATTGTTTTGCAGTGCTGAAGATGCATAAAATAATGAAGTAAACAGCAATTTCTTTCTTTGGGTGATTTTGGTGTATAGAATAAGGGGTTAAAGACGAAAAGTTCTTTGGATGAAGATTAAAGATCTGGTGTGTGGGGTAGCGATCTAGAAAAACGAGGACGGAAGTTGGAAAACGTGAAGGGTCTTTCCTTTTTTTTTTTGAAAAAGGGGAAAAATAATATATACATGTGCAGTGGTATTTTTGTAATTTTCGGGTTGTGCAGTGGCTGATAGGTAGGTTTGGATGAGCTATCAAGCTCTTAGTGGCTTTGGACACTGTTAGTAGTTATTTGGCAGTGGCATCATGAATTGCCAATGGTTCCAACAAAGTTTTGCTGGTTTTAGCAAAGGATTGGAAATTGAATATTTCTAGTAACTTCTCCAACCATACGAAATTCCGTTTTTTGGGAGGTGCTTGAGTGCAATTGGCAAAAACAACACTTGCACAAGATTTTGGTGCAGTCCCTAAGGGTTGTGCAGGTTTTTTGGAAGATTCTGCAAGCAAGTAGTAATCTTTATTAACAGTTTCCAAGGCCACAGAACTTGTGCAGCCACCCTTACATTAAATATGGTTGCAAGTTACTGATGGTGACTAGAATAGCATCTCTAGTTAGTTTTTAATAGGATTTCCAACCTCTAGTTAGCATCAAAGGGTATTGTTCCGGGAACTAAGTTTACTTCCACGTGTTTGCCACCTAGCCCTTTCTAATGAAGTCAGGCAGCATCGACAGCACCAAGTTTCACTAACGCAAACGCCTTGCTTTTCTAGATTGGTAGTGTTCACTCATCCATGCCTGCCAAACCACTACTCACATTGTTTATTCCGAATAATTCTCAGGAGCTTGGATTCATGAGCTTGTATTTATCTATAATGATAGCAAAACACATGTGAATATATGTTCAAATATTTAAGCGTAAAATGTATAAATATATGCAGTGAAGAAGGGAACTCCCTTGTGTGTTGAAGGGGATGATGTGGATGAATGTTTGCTACTCCTATTTGTTTGCTGGCCATGGCAAGTGCCAATATATTGCTACTGTACATGACTGGCATTGCGCCAAAATAAGGAATAAATGGTATGGATGTGTGTTACGATATCATTGTCCAGAGCCAAGTATCGTTGGTCAGTGATACCTGTTAACACGTAAGACATATAAAATATGTGTCATGAGTTGAGATTACTAACAACTAGTAATTTTGTTCATTTGTATAGAAGAATGATAATGTGCATGCCTGTTGGCCATGTTATATAAGTATTGCAAGGTCTTCCATGAATAACTTCCTCATAACCAGAAGAACAACAATGGCTAGCTTTACCCATGGCTAGAACGTGAACTATGTGGAATCAAAAAAGCACTCCAACTAATTTGCCAAGTCATGAAGGGGCAAATCTCACTAAACCAAACTCCGCCATAGCAATAGATGTGATAAAGAAAGAGATAGAGTTGTCTCCATGGAAGGGGGATACCAGCCACATCTATGGCCTACGATACGACAAGGTGTGATACCACTGACAAACATTGGTCCTTCTTACCGTACCTGCATCATCAGAGGGTGGTCTTGGTTGTTGTTGCCCACCAGGCACCACACCACCATACACGGATGACCACCAAGGGATTACCAGTCACTACTTGATGGATTTTTATCGCTGGAGGGTAGCCATCACATTCGATTGCAAGGTTGCAACTATTATCGGCCTCACATCAATCGTACTGAGTTACACTAACTCTTTGTTCATTTTCGAGAGCTAGTAAGATTAAATACGTAAAAATCTAACTCTTTGTCCGTTGTCGAGAGCTGATGTGATAGAGATATGCAAAGATGTGTAGCCTTATATCCATTGCTGGAGACTAAATAAGATAACAAATCTAGCCCTTTGTCCATTATTGGGAGCCACATGAGTTAGTAGTGAATATCGCTGCAAGGGACACGACTGTCAAAAATGTCCAACCATGTCATGGAAATAGATCTAGCCATGTCTAGCCATGTATATAAAGATGCTAGAGTGGGCTGCATTTTGGAATGTTCCCAACGAAGTATATAGATGCTATTTCTGACGATGTTGACTTTGTTGCAGCAATCAGCAGAAAATAAAAACACCATGTCTGATGTGGCAAATAAGTCATGCAACTCCTTGCTGATGTGGAACCGCATATGTCATCAATTTCGAGATCATACAAATTCATCCCTTAACAGACGTTCATAGACCTTATCGGTCTATTTTATTATGAGAGCAATTTGTCAACTTGCAATTGATTAAGGATAGCAGTAACGACTTTACACTTGTCCCCCTCCTTCAATATGTCTCTTTGTCTCAACACTAAACAAATAACTAGATATATTAGGGATTTTAAATTTGAATATTATAACCATAAGAAAAATTTGAGAAGGGAAAAACAATCTCATATTCTATGGTCTATTTATGATGAGTTTTTTTGTTTTATATATTGTATCAAGTTATAAAATAAAAAGAATTGGATAAGAGATAGTCTTTAATATTACAGAATTCACTTTTTATTTAATAATATATGTTGTATAATTTAATATAATTTAAATTATATAATATTTTTTTATTATATAAAAAATTAGTTTACAATCTAAATTATATTAAAGTACAAAACAACGAACT